GCAGTTGACGGTTTGTCCGGTGTCTAGACTATATCACATGGAGCACAGATGATGACTTACGGCAACCTCACAATAGTTACGTTAAGTTCTTTGAGTTTAGTGAGACATTTGCACAGAAAGATGTGTGTGGAAAACAGGCTAATCACAGCACTTGTGTCCACAATTGAAGTAATAACCAGAGACAAGCTACCTACCCTTGTGTGTGTGGGTACAACCGCATTGGGCCCTGATCCGACTGATGATGATTCATTGGCTGCAACGTTAGCAGGAAGCCCCTCAACCGATGCCTTTGAGTTCAAACGCTCCCGCGGTTTTGAGGGAAAGTCGAAATTGCTTGCGCCATCCAATCCAACAGAGTCCCAATCTTCATCCTGCCAAAATTCTTCCGTAGCATCACACTATAAGAATGTGCGAAATTTAAAACAGAACCATAAATCGAACGGACCCGGGTTCAGTAAACCTGAACCAGCATTCGATATTGCCTCCAGTGCTGCACGAAAGTTATGACAGTTATCAGACACCTTCTGCAAGTTCCTCAGAATAAAAACCACCTCCTTTGGCAAGGGCTGTTTCTGTTACTGAAAATTTTTCCAAAAAAGTCCTCCTAAAAAACTCACGGAAACAACTTCTAGCGAACCAGAACATATACCTCACCACGAACACTTTAGAAACTTTGGTTCTTCCTACGATGGATGATCCGGGCACGTTGACCATTTTCTCACTGTCGCTTAACCTTTCACAGGATATCCCCATCGGAAATCAGTTAACACCGACCCATATCGTGCCCATTTGCTTGTCTTCAAGCTTAAGAATCGAGTCCGGTAATGAGTCAGCTCACATCCTGTTGATGTTTATCCCTATGGCCATGCAAATATTCTCCCGCACGTCTATACCTTGTCTTGGTCACATGTTCGGGTCGAACCCTGCTACTACAACCTCAACACATGACTAGAAAGATGAGGCATGTTAAAGTGGAGTGGGGACTGATGTGATGCTCCCAGTGCGGAAGGTGGGGATGAAGTGTTGTATTAGGCGATTGAGTGGAGCTGCGGTGGTCCACTACTGCCCTACTCTTCAACTTGCATGAGGTTAACGCATAAGAGGATCGTCATTGACCGCTATAGTGTGGAATATGAACTGCTCAAACCCTGAACACTTCCGAAAGTGATTCCGGGGATAACTGTTTGGATTGACTCTGGTTGACACCTTGCATATACGCGCCACCGCATTAGTGTAACACATCTAGGCGTGGGCATAGGATCTACGTAGCGGTACAGCATATGCGGCGTTCACGATTTAGAATTGCATATAGCCTGCTAAAGGTCATTTTCTGTCACTGGGATACAGAGGGTGTCAGCAGTGTACGGGAAACTGTGTCTGGTCGTCAGCCAGAGCCCCGGATTACCACTATATACCAACGTTTCAAGAGCTTGAAGTCGAAACAGCACCCTACGTCTGGAAACAGTATTGGGAGAAATGGTATGTGAAGGTGTGAGACGTCTCACGGTTGGCGGATTTATCGCGTTGTTCTATACGGCGTTGCTGGAGTCAGCTTAAAGCGCTCGGGTCAATGACATTTCTTTTTACCGACAAATGGGGGGAAATACACAAGAAGTTGACGTGGGGCTGCTATCAAAAAGATGGTGGGAAGATGAAGTGGATTCTTTTCTTCGAAGTAGACTAAAGACAACAAATTTTGACNTTTCAAGTAGTTTACAAAATATGATAACTGACTCAGTTGCGACAACTTTTTGATGCACAGCCACCGTTCAACTAGAAGAAAGTACATTCGCTAAGATACTGTCGGATTACCCAAATGAGGAGCAATCGAAAAACAAGGGTCCTATTCGAACCACGGACCTCCCAGTCAGCAATTCTCGCCTTGATCACTGGGCTGTCTTGAGTTCAGTGGTTAAGATAAGCTGAGCAGCCTACATAATAACCTCAGACTTCTGTTACATGTTGATAACCCCCATCCGTATTCTGAACTTCCCACGGAACTTATACGATCGGTGTGTGCACAAGTGGATAATTCTGAAGGGAAAACGGCCGGAAGTAACACATTGTTCTGCTTGAATGCTTCATCAATATCTTAATATTTTCCAACGCGTGCCCTGCCCAGCCGGCAGTTGACGGTTTGTCCGGTGTCTAGACTATATCACATGGAGCACAGATGATGACTTACGGCAACCTCACAATAGTTACGTTAAGTTCTTTGAGTTTAGTGAGACATTTGCACAGAAAGATGTGTGTGGAAAACAGGCTAATCACAGCACTTGTGTCCACAATTGAAGTAATAACCAGAGACAAGCTACCTACCCTTGTGTGTGTGGGTACAACCGCATTGGGCCCTGATCCGACTGATGATGATTCATTGGCTGCAACGTTAGCAGGAAGCCCCTCAACCGATGCCTTTGAGTTCAAACGCTCCCGCGGTTTTGAGGGAAAGTCGAAATTGCTTGCGCCATCCAATCCAACAGAGTCCCAATCTTCATCCTGCCAAAATTCTTCCGTAGCATCACACTATAAGAATGTGCGAAATTTAAAACAGAACCATAAATCGAACGGACCCGGGTTCAGTAAACCTGAACCAGCATTCGATATTGCCTCCAGTGCTGCACGAAAGTTATGACAGTTATCAGACACCTTCTGCAAGTTCCTCAGAATAAAAACCACCTCCTTTGGCAAGGGCTGTTTCTGTTACTGAAAATTTTTCCAAAAAAGTCCTCCTAAAAAACTCACGGAAACAACTTCTAGCGAACCAGAACATATACCTCACCACGAACACTTTAGAAACTTTGGTTCTTCCTACGATGGATGATCCGGGCACGTTGACCATTTTCTCACTGTCGCTTAACCTTTCACAGGATATCCCCATCGGAAATCAGTTAACACCGACCCATATCGTGCCCATTTGCTTGTCTTCAAGCTTAAGAATCGAGTCCGGTAATGAGTCAGCTCACATCCTGTTGATGTTTATCCCTATGGCCATGCAAATATTCTCCCGCACGTCTATACCTTGTCTTGGTCACATGTTCGGGTCGAACCCTGCTACTACAACCTCAACACATGACTAGAAAGATGAGGCATGTTAAAGTGGAGTGGGGACTGATGTGATGCTCCCAGTGCGGAAGGTGGGGATGAAGTGTTGTATTAGGCGATTGAGTGGAGCTGCGGTGGTCCACTACTGCCCTACTCTTCAACTTGCATGAGGTTAACGCATAAGAGGATCGTCATTGACCGCTATAGTGTGGAATATGAACTGCTCAAACCCTGAACACTTCCGAAAGTGATTCCGGGGATAACTGTTTGGATTGACTCTGGTTGACACCTTGCATATACGCGCCACCGCATTAGTGTAACACATCTAGGCGTGGGCATAGGATCTACGTAGCGGTACAGCATATGCGGCGTTCACGATTTAGAATTGCATATAGCCCGCTAAAGGTCAGAAGTAGACTAAAGACAACAAATTTTGACGCTATGTATTCTTGTGCAACTGTTGTGTTTGAAGAAAGAACTTCTGTCGAAAGCCTAACGATGAAAGTGTGCATGTATGAACATGCATTAGATAAGTCCATTATATGGAGCCAGATTCGATCAGTGTGGAAAAAACTTCCTATGATTAGAGATGGATTCCAGAGATCCATATCTCGAGTACCACTAACGGAAATTACCTAGCAGCATTCCTGAAAAAGACGTCTAAATTTGCTGTGGAGGATAAATGTAATCATCTGATACGTATTTAAGGATTTTGTGGCAAAAAAAATGACTGAGCCATTACAAACAAAGAAAAAAAACGGAATATAGCAATAAAAAAGCTCAGCTGGAAGAAAATCCTGTCATTCCGTGGAAAACTAGGACTACTGTGTTCCCAAGGCGGTTCTATTATGCGGGAGAGATGATCAAGCTTGCTTCATTCCAATCTCATTCCATAATACACCCAACTTCGTTCTCACTAACTTCGTATCACCCTACTGATATTCATCCCACTCTGGTGCACTCGCCACTAACGCGACATCACGTGAATTTGCTTGTGATAATGACTGCTCTGCGTTTTCAAGACTTTTCATACACGCGACATAACCTTTTGAACTTTTGCGAATATGCCATTTCTGATAAGAATGTAGCTAACATCACATGTCGAGCTGTGATCGAAAGGTCTCCATGCAAAAAAATTTACATCATGAATCTGACCCGCGGGGATAGTTCCTTTATTTTGGTGACGTTATCTCTTCCGTTAAACAAGTCCGCTGGGCATCACTATTGGTGAACAGGTCTGTTTGAGCCACAGAATTTAGGTGTTGGTACAGCTAAAGTAGCAGCTGATCGGCATGAATCCCATAGCACCTTCGCTTTTACGGAAACACAAAGTTATTACGGTAAAACTGATGGCGCCTCAGCTAATCAGTGCAACGCGGACCGCTCCATACCTACTTAACATAGTAAGTCGATACGAAGCGGTATTGATAGAACAAGTTATAATTGCAAATACATTCCATTAACTTAACTGATGGGTGTCTCGGAGCAAATTTATGGGCACGTCACACAAGCCAATTGTTGTTTACTTGAAATGCGTACTTCTACGAAACCGACGCAAAACCCATGAAAACTACTGTTAATTATTCATATGTATTCCACCCGATTCGACGGGTCAGTTGGGCCAAAACGCTTCGCCTGACAGCTCATTTGACAATCCATTGCCTGTGAATAGGACAACTGACGGGGGCCTGGAGGTAAGCTCCGCAAATGATGCTAGATCAGCCAAAATGATGGCTCCTTACTCGAACACGATGCCAAGATGTCCCTGTTCCAGTGGTTTTTGATAGTTTTCCCTTTGGAGATGAGGCTTTTCTGCAATGAGTCTTCACTACCTTGTTTCTTTCCACTCTTAAATATGGCCCTCTTTCTGCGTCTGTACGTTTAAGGGACAGTTTCCACCAGCATGTCCATGACGATGGATGGTGAATGTCGGGCAGTCCTCAGCATCATTGATATAATAAAACGTGTCCTGCATCAGTCGGTACCAAGAACCTTTCACTCGTCTCAAGGAAGAAGTCATGTTCATCTTTAGCAGCTGTGTGTGGGGTAGGGAGGGGGAGTGAAAACAGACAACAAATGGCCATCGCTCTGGAATAGTCAGAACTTACAGAGTTCACAGGTCCGATGAAACTGATTGGTCTATGTCCGCCATGGCTAGGGTGATAGCCACGAGAGCCTGGACCACCTCGGTGCTGCAGTGCATAGCGACCGCCGGCGCGACCACGACCACGACTGCGTGTGGTGGTTTCATCTCCATCAAGACCAAAGTGTCCACCTCCAGTGCCACGTCCACGGAAATTGGTCTGGTTGTACCAGAGAGGGAGGGGTTGAAAAGCAGAAGCGACCGGGAATAAGAAAGTACATGGTGAGTAGTTAGATTGATATTTGTCAGAATTCGGAAGGAACTTTGGGCAGAGACAGTCTTACTACGTTCAATCTTAAGTGTTACCCCCGTCTTGTAAATTGACAATTCTTGCCGTATACAGTATGGCCTAAAATCTAGCAAATTTTTTCATCCCCCAAATAAACATCATTACGCGTTCAACATTGCTTTGAACTCACGCAAATTTGATAAATGATAGCAAGAACTTCAACCCACTGATTTCAGTGGCTTCAGTGAGCTCTAAAACTCGTAGATTGTGATGACACGGTAAAGGCTTCTAATTACCGTCACTGAACCTATTGGTTCTGTGACGAAGGACATTGGACAGTTTGTGTGGAAATACCACACGTGAACTGCAGCATGAACATGGCTCAAAGATCCTATTCAAGTGAGACCAGACAAATCGCAGCAAACCCAGCTGCGCTAGTCATTGCCATCTTCCTGGATGGGGACCCCGAAACGAACCACATCAATGGTTGGAAAAATTGTCAGACATGGCCTAGCCGCGCCTTCAATGGCGCTCATGCATCCAAGCTATTGCAGTCAATGCATAGTTGCCTTCCCGATTCCCCCACTTGACAGTTCACTGACAGTGCTGTATTTGCGCACTAATTTATCAGCTCCCGCCTCCAATGTGCAACTGCCTACTCCACCTCCCCGAATCATCGGTGAACGAAACTGTGCCAGCCACAACCACTGTACGACAGGTACGCGGTTATTATAGCTCATCATGATGATGAAAAATCAATCCATGATAGCCGCTACAAGTACGATAAATTCGCAGCTTTGGAACAAAACAAACAGAACCAGTAGCTTAGGTAGAGATCTAATCAGATGAAGAAATGGGCTTCCTGGGGAAGAAACACACCAGTTTCAATTGGTGATCAGTGACATTGTAAGGGAAAGTATGAGCAGCCGGTTATTTTGGTTAAAAAGTGAAGGAAAGGGGTATTTGAATATTGAATAGCTATATAGGACAGCGGAACAAATGCCCTTCAAATTAGATAATGGTCAACAATGAGTGGACAATGAGTGGGACAGAAATATTATCACAATAAACGCACCCCCGATACCAGTTCGGAACGTTCGCTACCACTGTAGGATCGTTGCCGCCAGCCAGCACATCCACGGGACCAATCGCCATGACCACCCCGTCGGTTGTCGGAAGGTGGGGCAGCGCGGAGCGAGATGTTTGCAGTGGTTTGGGAGATGTCCGTGTGTGGACCACTGGGATAACGCTGCCGTGAGTGGGAAGAAAAATAACTGGACTGAGGATGCTGGGATTGGTTGGAATTGCTGGCGTTGTTGTTGTGATGCCAGGGCTGTCGAGCTGGACGTTGCCACGAGGAGTCCACCTCTTCAACGTTCAGATCTTCGGGACTACCACCAGGCAAACTGCGATACAAAAAATAAGCAGTTATCGGAACATTAATTAAACGAACTAACCCGAAACTCGAGCGACCAGATTAAGGAAGCAGAAGAGGAAAAAACTGTCTTGAATGGCAAGTTCGAATTCTCATCGGCGCCCACTTAAGCGCCACATCAGATATGCTTGAAAGGACTATAAATCCCCACTAAAATGAAGCTATCCCATAAATTCTGTTAAATTACTACGACATTGATCATGAGCCGCCATGAAAAGCAAGAACATTGTTTACGTCTTGTTCGCGTGAGCCTAATAGCGTGGCTCGCCTACACTAATGTGTGGTGAATGAGGAGCAGTAAACTGAAAATGAGGTGATTCAGCACTGTGATATGAGAATGAACAGGAACGCATCGCAACTAAAAGACATCCAGCACATAGTCAACACACAGATTATAGCGCTGGAGTTGGCGCTACAACTGATAGCGTTCGTTGCAGCCTTAGTTGACCTGGTCAGATATGAACAGCACTGAGATACTAAGTGGGTATAACTCTACATTAGATGTTCTTATCTTGGGGACCTTGTTTTCCACATTCAGAAACAAATACGACCTACGAACCGTGTCATCTCCTCAGCGAGATTTCTCTTGCACAGCCAATATCTTAACCTTGAACTTTTGAACTTGCAACGTAGGCTCCAGTGTTTAAGGGGCAGCGGAAAGGGTGTAGACCAAAACGTAGATATGTAAAACATTTTAGTCCATCGGGGATATACAACACGAAACGGGCAACTTGGGTAGATAGGAAAAACGTGGCAGGCTCCAGAAACGTCCAGACACAACAGGTATCTTATCATTATTGGGACTGTTTCGATGGGCGTCGAGGGTTGTCTTGGGTTCATATTTTATATTCGTATTTTATATGACTCCTTAGATCCATGTGATGATCTGCAGAAGCAGCAATGATCTACACAAGGTTAGGTAAATACCCTTTTAAATTCCTAATGTCTGGAGCGACAACTGACAAATTCTGTGCGGACTTAAGAACAGCCGGCAGGAAAACGAGTGATCAGAATGCCCAATGGGGTCACAGGCTGAACGACACGGTTATATTCATTTGGAGAAGCAGTAAGCGAAAAAAAACCAACTCACTTGTTCCCTTCAGTGTCAGTGGACTGTGATTTCTTGCGAGTTCCTCGAGGTATTCGGATAGGAATAACAATTGAAGGCTAGTTTGGAAGGCAAAAGTGAGGCAGTGAGTAACGTTGACACCATCGACTGGATTAGTAATTTGCCGCAATACAATTAAACTATAGATTGTTCAGTATAAAAATTGCGTCCGAGCAAGATAAAACATGACAGATCAGCACAGAAAGAAAGGATTTTGTGTCATACGGGTTTCTTCAATCAGTGGTGAAAGGCACCAGTCCGCTTCAGCTTAATAATTGTTACAAATAAAATTACTAAGCAAATAAAAATTTGAGTTACAAGCCACACCACAATGTGAGCATATGCGAAGAAGCTCACTACAGTTTCGAGCACGCCGTACTCCCCGTACGCATGAATTTAAATCTAAATAGAGTACGACAGTGAACCACCAACTTGCAGACAGCAAAGTGCAACCTTGGGAGTTTCATTGATTTCTGATAAGCCACCGACTGGAAACTGTGAAACTCTTTCGGTGCATAGTTATCATTTGCCGGGCGAACGCACGAGGACTGAAATACTGCTAGAATGCTCCGGTCTTGACAGGAGCAGTCGACGAGCCCCATCGAGAAGACTGATCGGTCTTTCCCGGACTTTCCGGTCAGTAAATTATCCCCCCCCCCCCATTACGTGGATACGAACCATAAAGAGATGAGGTATGCCACAGTTCGAATAAATCGCAGACCTTTTAAAAAACTCGACATGGGCTGTCTATAAGCACATGTTTTGTCAATTTTGCGTAGCAAGCACTTTACAGTCAGTTTTCAAATTTGAGGCCAAAAGCGGTTCATAAAATGGTCGCACTGTGGCATACTTTCAGTGCGGAGCTGCCATGTGACCCAAGCTGAGGACTGAGATACTGTTAAATTGTCGGAGAATTGACGGGAGCGATCGAAGGGGTAAGAGGTCTGTTCAAAACAAAGACCCCCAAACCAACCACTGACCTATTTCGAATAGGGACATGAGGGGTTGCAGTCCTCTTAAGGCATCGCTTCACTCATGTTGTATACTTGGAACTTTTATTTCCATAGAGACCAAAGCCCTGCTTACTCAATGAAGATAAGACGGATCGAATGTAACGACTTGGATCGGGAAGTGCTTGCGAACCTTTTAGATGACGATATAGGTGTCATATCCTCTCATTTTGATCTGAAACGAACAAATAAGCTCATCCACCTAGGCCAAGAAGGTTTAGTTACCCCAAAGTGCTCAATTTTACCACAAGGCAGCTGCTAATCTCATGGTATTCTGTAATCCGTCAACCACGGAACTGACATGATTTAGGAGTGGAAATCAGGATTTCCCTTGGAAGGTAGGGAAGCTCAATGGATAAGAGGTACTCCCGTCCTAAGGAACAATGCCACTATCGACGCTGATGGGTCAAAGCTACAGCTGGAAATCGATAGTAAAGGATTTCCAGCTTCTGGCTTGGACGATTCCCACTATACGGTAGCGAATCATTGGCACTGAACCCTGATGCTATGCTGCAACCGCACCAGTCAGCAAGCCCGGCTTACCAAAAGCTTTGCAGGATGGCATGTGCCCAGGCCATCCGAGGTCTATCCGAGGAAGTTTCGCACACCTCAGTAAACATCAGATCTCGTTAGGACCAGGAAAACTGTACCAACAACAAACGACCTAACTCGTCAAAACGAGACTCTTGACGTTAGTTTTACATTGTCGCCTTATTGTGGCTCGTGAAACATTGATTTGAGAGCAGTGAGCGGGGTACCGGCGTAGTAAGGGTTGCGTTGACCAAATCTTCACACTCCGCCAGGTGCTAGAACAACACCATATATACAAACGACCCACAATTTCAGTATTCCTGAATTTTCGAAGCGCATTCTGCTCTTCTTGACACGATTGCCAACAAGGAGCTCGTTATATGAATGGAATAAGTTCTTTGTATTCGTATAATTCCGGGCGTGTGAAATTACACGGGGATCTCCAAAGGCATCCGTACACAAAGTGGTGTTTGTCAGGGGTGTCCACTCTCTTCATTCCCATTTAATTTCGTGATCGATAAAATAATGAGACGAACGCTGGAAGGTCTTCAAAACCGTATTCAAAAAGCCTGCCACGACAACCTTGTCGGTCTGAAATATACAGACGGCATCGTTCTCGTCTTCGAAGAGAAGACACAGGTGTTTCTGGGTGAACTGACCGAAGACACACCATCCTTTGGTATGCACTTTGCACCCACAAAGCGTAAGACCATGCTCCTGGACATGCAGTCACTAACCACGCCACTTACGATCCAGGGATAGACAGTCGAAGTTTTGGAGCGTTTCACGCACCTTAGAAGTTGAGTGTAGTGGTGTAGTGAGTGAGTGTAGTGTGACAGATGAGGTCAACGCACGAATCCGAAAGGCCCGGGTCGCGTTTGCTAATTTGGGACACCGATGGCATCGAAACGGCAAATCCCCAAATCTAAAGGGACGTGTGTATGTATGCGGGCTGTCTTGTTCTATGGCTGTGAGATTCGGCCTGTTTGAGCACCGGAACTGGGGTGTTTTCGGGTCTTTGATAACCGTTGTGAGCGAATCCGTAACAAGGCAATTAGATGAGCGGTCGGTTGTGCGACGGGGACTTCCATTGAAGAATGTGCCCATAACCAGAAGCTGCGTTGGTTAGGCCATACACTGCACATTTCCAATCATCGTTTGCTGAGTAGTTTTCAGCACCCAATTAGGAGTGGTGGAAGCAGAGAGAGGATCAGCTTTTGACCTGGATATGGTTAGTGCAACTCGCCTTCCAAGATGGGGATCGTGTGATCTTCACTGCGGCCCGCTGGAGACGCTGCAAGGTGTGGCTACTAATCGATGTTCATGGTACTCCTATTGTCAGTTAATATCCAGATTGTCTGAATGAGTGTCTGGAGGTGTAGGCAACTCAGAATGATGGTAGACTAGCTGAGTCCTTTCCCTGTCGACTTTTATTCTTTTCTTAAGAGTGAGACTACAAAATAAATCACAGTTGTATGGCAGCGAGGTATCAGTGCTGAACACTGATGATAGCTTCCAAGGTGTTCCCTGGCATTGCCCTACGTAGGTTGATCCGTCATCGGGAGATTGAGATTCATGAGAACCAAGCTGGGTTTTACCCTGGCCGGGGTGACATCGATCATATATCCTCCTTGCAGCAACTGTTGAAACCATTACACTCCTTCCGTCGCCTCACCAATGATCGACTTTCTCGATTTTGAATCTGCGTTTGACTCTGCTGATCGTCAGTAACTGCTACGATGCCTGTCAATTAACGGCCCCCATCGAAGGAAAATTGTATGTTGGATATATAATGTGAAAGTGGCTTACGTCACACTAGGATAGTCTAAGTCTAATGGATGCGGTACATACACCCCTTGCACGTGCGGTCCCCACCCATATGTGACAAGCTCTCCTTTTCATGACGTTGCTCACTGGCTCATAGAACTACTCCAGCTTATTCGTAAAAATCTATGTAATCATAACCTGAATAGATTTTCATCCTACTGAGTCCGTTTATGATATCCACGCGTATAACAGGAAATGTGTTCCTTTAATATGTCCTTCTTTTCCAACACGGTTTATTTGAGTGAAGCAGTCTGCAGTTTGGATTTTATAAACCACTTCGGTTTCATTCTAGTCGTCCGTATTAACGACTTTAAAGAGCTACTGTCACGTCGTACATTCGGTACACAACTGTAAAGAATTCGAGCGCTGGGGGAACCTCACACCGGACTTGTGGGTACATATTTTTATCAGCAAAACATGGGATAAATGAATGCATTTTCAGTGGACACAAATAAGGTCAGTGGCATTTGGCTTTGCGTTGTTTTGGCAATAAGG